ACCAGACCGTTTTTTCAATTTTCTCCAAGACTCTTTTTACATTTCTGCGTTGTTTGTGTTTAGCTGTAATTTTTCCTCTTACGCATTTACTGTACACCCTTGGGCAGGGGTAGGCAACCTATGGCACCAGTGCCATGCACGGCAATCGTGGTGTCTTTGCACGGCACTCAAGGCTGCTAGAGCCAAACAGGCTCTGGCCTATCAGGATTCACGACGAGGTTCATCTTCTTGTCTGCCTGCACCTCCAATGCCTCACCCCTCTGTCAGTCCCTGCATTGGCTTCCCGTAAGATATAGGGCTCAATATAAAATTCTGGTTCTTGCCACTCCCACCTATCTATCCTTCTTAATACACAAGTATGTGTCGAAGACCTGCGTCTATCCTTTGTTCGTACTCCCACCTCTGATGCTCGCATTCAAGATTTCTCTAGGGCTGCACGTTCCTGTGGAACGCCCTTCTCTTCTCCGTTAGATGCTCACCCAGTCTCCACTTCTTCAAAAAATCATTAATAACTCACTTTTTCACAAAAGCATATCAATTAAACTGTTAATGGCGACAAAAAAAAAACACACTAAGCCTTCAGTGAATACTATTCTACCTATCTACTTCCCTTACCATTTGTGTCACTTTACCCCACTCCCTCTAGCATGTAAGCTCATTGAGCAGGGCCCTCAACCCCTCTGTTTTTTGTGCATCAAACTTGTCTGGTTACAATTACATGTTTGTTAGTCCACCCATTGTAAAGCGCTACGGAATTTCTTGGTGCTATATATATATATTAATAATAATAAAAAGACAATCCTCAATTTATGCATTGCAGCACGTAGAGGAAGTGATCTCAGGTCACTTCCTCCCAGCACTTGTGAATGGAAATCCGTACTCTAGTAGAACATCCCACAGCTGCTATTGCAGCTCCTGTCCTTGAGCTGTACCTGGCCAGCCTGGTCCCAACTGAAACACGAAGAATCTTCACCCCCTGGTGATATCAGACCAACTACCTCTAATAGCATCACTCATTTCGTGTCACACAAATCTCATAGACAGTTTTCAGATTTAACTCGAAACATACCCTCAGAAGCATGGGTACCAGGTACCCGTGCAAGTAATGGATCAGCCTGGAAAATTTGGCTTAATTGGTGCTTGGAACAGGCTGCAGATCCCGTACATTTCGATTTGGCAAATCCTAATTTTTTTTGTCTTTTTCATTTCACTAGGGTAAAGCATACTGCACTATTAATGTATATATCGTTCAGCGATATCAGCAAACCATGATCCAATTGAGTCATTTCCTGTTGGCAAACACCCCCTAGTATGCAGACTTTTAAAGGGCATTAAATTCAAATGCCCTCCATGCCCTAAATATAATTCTACTTGGGATGTCAATCTGGTTCTCCAATCAATCAATCATTATCTTTAAAATTCCTTTCTTTTAAACTCACTGTTTTACTTTGTCTAATTTCTTTCAAAAGAGTTTCCAATGTTATGGCTTTAGACCTAGACAATATACACCGGATGATGTTTTTCTATTGTTAGATGTACTAAAACTAATCTTCATTCTGTTTTTTCCCTGATCATTTTTTTTGTGTGCGGTTAATTGTCTTTAAACTTATGAGCTTAAAACCTCTTCTATAAGACACACTAATTTGTCTCAAGTATTAATTTATTTTCTTAAACCTTTACTTCCTATCACTTCTACATCTTTTAGAGATGATGCAAAAGAAAGCCCGCAGTTTGCTGAAGGCAAGCAGACTAAACCAGGTGGGTAAGACAAACTATGTTTATGGCAGGTATTGACATCTCTATGTGGAGCTCACTCTTCCAGAGGAGCTATGTCTACTGAGGTTTTTCAAGCAGGAGGCTTGAAAATTAAAAGCTGCAGATTGGTTTTTGGAATCTTCTTTTAAAAGGTTTTATTTAAGGCCTACCTCTCATGTGTCAAAAATTATTCTGTAATTTAAATATATATTCAGTATCTCACAAAAGTGAGTACACCCCTCACAGTTTTGTAAATATTTTATTGTATCTTTTCATGTGACAACACTGAAGAAATTACACTCTGCAACAATGTAAAGTAGTAAGTGTACATCCTGTAAATTTGCTGTCTCCTCAAAATAACTTAACACACAGCCATTAATGTCTAAACCGTTGGCAACAAAAGTGAGTACACCCCTAAGTGGAAATGTCCAAATTGGTCCCAAAGTGTCAATATTTTGTGTGGCCACCATTATTTTCCAGCACTTCTTTAACCCCCCATGGGCATGGAGTTCACCAGAGCTTCACATGTTGCCACTGGTGTTCTCTTCCACTCCTCCATGATGACATCACGGTGCTGGTGGATGTTAGAGACCTTGAGCTCACCCACCTAACGTTTGAGGATGCCCCACAGCTGCTCGGTAGGGTCTGGAGACAGGCTTGGCCAGTCCATCACTTTTGCCTTCAGCTTGTTTAGCAAGGCAGTGGTCGTCTTGGAGGTCTGTTTGGGGTCGTTATCATGTTGGAATACTGCCCTGCAGCCCAGTCTCTGAAGGGAGGGGATCATGCTCTGCTTCAGTATGTCACAGTACATGTTGGCATTCATGGTTCCCTCAATGAACTGTAGCTCCCCGGTGCCGGCAGTACTCATGCAGACCCAGACCATGACACTCCCACCACCATGCTTGACTGAGGCAAGACACACTTGTCTTTGTACTCCTCACCTGGTTGCCACCACACACGCTTGACACCATCTGAACCAAATAAGTTTATCTTGGTCTCATCGGACCACAGGACATGGTTCCAGTAATCCATGTCCTTAGTCTGCTTGTCTTCAGCAAACTGCCGGCTTTCTTGTACATCATCTCGAGAAGAGGCTTCCTTCTGGGACGACAGCCATGCAGACCTATTTGATGCAGTGTGCGGCGTATGGTCTGAGCACTGACACCCACCCCTTCAACCTCTACAGCAATTCCGGCAGCACTAATACGTCTATTTCCCAGAGACAACCTCTGGATATGATGCTGAGCATGTGCACTCAACTTCTCTTGTCGACCATAGCGAGGCCTGTTCTGAGTGGAACCTGTCCTTTGAAACTGCTGTATGGTCTTGCCCATCGTGCTGCAGCTCAGTTTCAGGGTCTTGGCAATTTTCATATAGCCTAGGTCATCTTTATGTAGAGCAACAATTCTTTTTTTCAGATCCTCAGAGAGTTGCCATGAGGTGCCATGTTAAACTTCAAGTGACCAGTATGAGAGAGTGTGAGAGTAAAATTTAACTCACCTGCTCCCCATTCACACCTGAGACATTGTAACACTAATGAGTCACATGACACCGGGGAGGGAAAATAGCTAATTGGGACCAATTTGGACATTTTCACTTAGGGGTGTAAAGGCGTTGGCGTTGCCAACGGTTTAGACATTAATGGCTGTGTGTTAAGTTATTTTGAGGAGACAGCAAATTTACACTGTTATACAGGCTGCCCACTTACTACTTTACATTATAGCAGAGTGTCAGTTCTTCAGTGTTGTCACATGAAAAGATATAAAAATATTTAGAAAAATGTGAGGGGTGTACTCACTTTGTGAGATACCGTATATTTTAATACTATCAAATTAGTTCAGCTTTTAGCACCTTAACGACACAACATCAGAAATAAAAAGGAATCATGACGGAATATTTCCGTCACATGTCCTTAAGGGGTTAATATGCATATGAGCCTCCTTTCTTGTTATAAAATTCAAGATTTTCCTAGTCTTGAGGTCAGAAAATATAGATTTTATTAAAGACAGGAGGCGAGTATTATCCCTCCCATCAACCCACTGTCTTATTTGTATTTCAGCTTGATCTAGTTTGGAATTTCCGTTGTTTTCGTGTTACTTGTTCCTAGGAATTTATTCGGTTGGACTATTCTGCTAGAGTCGCAGTTCTAAAGAGGAAGAATATTGGGGATCATTCAATTTAAAGACTATGCTGGATGCTGATTGGCTACTGAATGTTCCACTTCAGTTACTTGACTGTTTTTTCTTCTGTTATTCACTAAACTTTTTTAAATTTCTTTGCTGCTGGAGTTATGTAAAGAAAGTTTATGCATAATACTCACCTCCTGTCTTTATTCAAATCTATATTTTCTGACGTCAAGACAAGGAAAATCTTGAATTTTAAACCAAACATTGAATGCATCTGGTCAGTTGTTATCAGATGGGGTCTGGTTGATCAAATTCCCACTGGTATTAGCTTTAGTTAATATGAGAATTGTCATTCCAGTCAGAATATGGCAATTGGGAATTATCACCAGATTATGTCCATTCAGAAAAAAATCTGGTGTTTAGCGAATAAACCTGACAGACTTGGCTTGATGGGTGAAATGGAAAAATCAATTAAAAGTATTGATTATTTCTTTGTGTATCTGCCCCTGGCCAAATCAATGAAACAATGCGTGCACGCTCCCTGAAGTAATTCACACCAGACACAGGTTCCAGGTTGTTGAATAACTTGAGGAATGTTTATTCAGAGGGGACGGCAGGTCCCTTTTAAAGCAAAATTACATCATAAGCATTGTCAGAGATAACATGGAATAATACATCAATAATTGGTTAGGTGTTAAGTGGTCGCTTCAATGCTCTGCCTACTGTAGGTGATGTCACCGGGGCCATGAGGGTCTCCCACGGTTTCCCGGCGCCATCTTGGTGCACGAGGTAGTTAGTCAATGTTAGGAAGAAGAAAGGGAGGGGAGGGGGAAGGAGCTAGAAGCTTCTAGCAGCCATCTTGATTATAACATGTGTGCTTAGCTATATATATATATATCGTGAAATGAGTAAATAGACATTTTTCACTAACTAGGAAATATGTGTAGACCTTATTTCCACAACAGTCCCCCCTAAAATGGCTATTTACCATAACAACTGCTACTGTCCCTAGTATGTCCCTAGTTGCCTGCAACCTATCTGTCTTAACTAGCATCGAACACTTCACTCCGTGGGTAACCCGCAGTGGCTAGTCCACTACATCTCCACACGTGAGACTCGCCAGTTAAGACAGACACTTTCCCTATACTGTCCCTATAGGAAAGCAGTTGTTTGTTTGAACTGATGTGATTGAAGGGGTGTATGTGGAGTATCATCTTCGAGGTCTGTGATGTCTTGGTGTATGAAAGTAGGGGTCACGTCATCTATAGTCTTATCCACCGCTTTCTGTAAATACTTCTGTATGCAGGGGAATATGCAACAGGTCAGAAATAAGAAAATAACGATCATTATGAAAACAGCTGTCCCCACCTGGAAGAGGGTCCTTTGCCAACCATTCATCCATCCAAACCATCTGTCCCAAGGGTCGATGACTCCTGAATTTTTCTTTAGTTCGTCTGCGAGACTATCTAGCTTCTCTATGGCCATAGTCACCTTACCATTGGGCCCAGTGTTGTCTGGAATGTATGTGCAGCATGTCATGGTCTCAGGGAGGATTTTACATACACCCCCTTTCTCAGCTAAAATCATATCTAGGGCCATTCTGTTCTGAAATGTCATTTGGGTAGTGGCTTGTAGTTGCTCTGCCAGGCCCTGTAGGGCATCCCTAGTGTAGTTGACAAAACGCTGTTGATTATAGTAAATATAGTTAATCCAATTGACATTTTTGTTAGCAGTTATCATTGGAATTAGGGACTCAAATCCTGCAGCCACTTCATCTCTTGCTTTGAATTCGTTAGGCACCCCCCTTGGCACACCTATGGCATCAATATACACATGGGGGTCGAAACTCCCTCGAATAGGAGTCTCTCGTTTGGTTCTAGAGTGTGCATGTGTGAGGTTTAACGTGTTATGGTCACCATCTGGAATGATATGGATAGGCATTATGACTTTGGTTAGGGCACACTCCCCCCACCATTGCCCAATTAATTGGGACCTCAATTGTTTATCCCCACATAACCAATAGATGTCGCCGATTGTCTTTGTGTGGTTCATTAGCAGTGATACGGGTGGATTATGGTAAGTTGAGCAATATCCTGATGGGAATTTGCCCAAATACAAACCGGTGTTTTTAGATATTGTATAACATGTGTAATTACCTGGGTAGATGGTGACTCCATCAGGTGGTTTTACATGTCCGTGAGTGATCGGGTAAATTCTCTTCCACGATTCACATGTCGAAGAATTGGTGACGGACTGTGTGTAAAGGCTCAGAACACATGATTCTACTTCAGGAGGTAAATTCAGAGGAACTGTGCCCAGATGGGGCCTGGCTCCCCCACACACGTAACAATTGGTCTTATTGTGTGAGTTGGCATTATACCTCATCCATTCTAGCCATAAATTAGTGTCTGAAAAACCAGTTTCCACTGCCATAGTGTCTTCAAAGGTGGGGTTGGCTATAGCTACCATGTCATGTAGGGTCTTAATATGTGGTTTTAACGGGTTAACGATCATGTGAGTGGTCCCCACCCAGTCGGGGGAGGTGAGCATGTCTTGCAGGTAGAATGTCCCCAGTGCATTGTGTGAGCCACCTCCCTTCCAGTACATCCCCATCACATATTCCCCCGCGTCCCTTGGACTAGGGTGTTCTATATTCAAGGTAAGTTTAATGGGAGTTGACCCTGTGGGTTTACTAAGAGTCATTCTAGAAAGTAGGGGCTTCCCGTCTTTGTCAAGTCTGTCTAGTGCAACCTGAGGTCTGTAGCCCCATGGTCTACCTGTATTCCACCCGGCAGCTTTCCATGAACTACAGTGGTGTCCCCAAGCGCCTCCAGTCACACAAATGTATGGGTCCTTTTTGTCAGGTATGTCCTTGTATATGGCTGCATGTTGTGTCTGTGGGAATGTACAGGTAACTATGTCACAGTAATCAAAGGTGTATGTAGCTACATCAGTATCAGAAGAATTGTACCAGAAAGTGTAAACATGATTATCTTTGGTTATGGCCACTTGTTGGGCCCAGGCAAAATGCAACAATACAAGAAAACACAAGACACATAATAAATTCATGTTTCAACAAGATCAGCTTCTCCTGGAGCAGGCACTTTTTTGCAATGTGAAGCGTGTATCCAGGAACTTTTTCCAGCTAGCTTAACTGACGTTGCTGTAATCAGGAGCACTTGATAAGGACCATCAAATCTCGGTTCTAGGGTGTGTTTCCTGAGGAACTTCTTAACCATAACCCAATCACCTGGAAGCAGCTTGTGTGTACCTGTATTCGACTCAGGATCTGGAATAGAAGAAAACACTTGGGCATGTATCTTGGTCAAGGCATGTGAAAGGGCAGTCACATAGTCTACCATAGCGTCTGACTGAATCTGAAGCTGTTGGGGAAAGTAGCAACCTAACCTGGGTGCTGTACCAAACAAAATCTCATAAGGTGACAAACTGTATTTTCCTCTGGGAGTGTACCTTACACTGAATAACGCTAGTGGAAGACTCTCGGGCCAGGGCATGTTAGTTTCTTGTGACATTTTAAGCATTCTGGCTTTCAAAGTGCCATTCATGCGTTCTACCTTACCACTACTCTGTGGGTGATATGGTGTGTGGAATGCAAGGGTCACCCCCAGTGCTGACCAGACTTCCCGTGTTAGCGAGGCAGTGAAGGAGGTCCCTTGGTCACTTTCAATTACTTCTGGAACCCCATAGCGGCAAACAATTTCTGTCAAGAGATATTTGGCTGTAGTCCTCGCGGTGAGATTAGTCACTGGGAAGGCCTCTGGCCATCCTGAAAACATGTCCACTATGACCAATGCATATTCATAACGTCCACTCTTTGGCATCTGAATGTGATCAATCTGGATCCTCTGGAAGGGATATTGCGGCTTGGCTAGGTGATTAGGTGCAGTCTTTATAATCTTTCCAGGATTGCATTTAGCACATATAGTACATGACTTACAGTAATGCTGTGTTAAGGTGGTGATGCCTGGTGCTTCGAAATATTTGTCAATCAGTGAATTCATCAGGAGTTTTGACAGATGAGCTGGCCCATGGGCCCATTGGACCACCGCTGGGTACATACTTCTGGGTAGGCAGAACTTGAGATTAATGGTGTAAACATCATCACGGAGTATAGCTCCTTTGTTCTTCCAACCTTGTTTCTCTTGGGGAGTAGCAGCAGCTTGTTGTTCCTTCAGAAGCCTGAGGTCTGTAGGCAATGTTTGCATAGTATAGATAGGCAGTGTATCTGTGGCCACTCTTCTGTCCACTTCCCATCTTTGCCGTGCTGCTTCTTTAGCTGCTTGATCAGCCAGGTGATTGCCACGTGCTTCTTCTGTGTCTAGTCTTCCATGGGCTTTTACCTTCAGTACTGCCACCTCAGCTGGAAGTTCCAATGCGTCCATCAGCTCTGCAATGGCTGTCCCATGCTTTACTGGGGTACCAGTGGCCGTAAGAAATCCTCTGGTCTTCCAAATTAAGCCAAAATCATGTGCTACTCCCAGGGCATATCTTGAATCCGTGTAAATGTTGGCACGCAACCCTTCAGACAATTTGCAAGCCACAGTTAGAGCTGTCAATTCAGCTTCTTGAGCAGACTTATTTGGTTGCAGGGCAGCTGCTTGTAACACTTGACATTCTGTAGTAACTGCATACCCAGTGTGATATTGCCCTTGTTCATCAGCAAATCTTGACCCATCCACAAATAATGTTTGGTCCGGGTTGAGTAGTGCAGCTTCGTAGACAGTTGGTAGATGTGTAGTTTCCATTTTCATTTGTTCAAAGCAATCATGAGGGATATCGAGGTCACAGTCTGTGGTAAGTGGATCCTCACAGGCTTCTGTATGGTACCTGGGGTACCCAGTTGTACAGCAATTAATAGTCTTTTTGTTGATTCTCGTAGAAGTCAGTTGTTCTGGGGTCATTTGACTCCAGGTTTTGGCCATCGGGCCTAGGTCTTTCCACGAGATGTCGGGGGGTCTGGTGAGAGATATGTGTGGGATCGATGTTTCCCAATGGTGATAGAGATGTGTCACACTCTCTGGGAGGTGGACCAAGATAAGCATGGTACCTGTGAGGTCCCAAAACAAGTCAGTCAGGGTAATTTGGATTTCTTTGAGTTGGAATACTTCTGCCTCGTAATTCATATCAGGGCCTGGTTCATCCCTAATCCACAAAGTGCAATGAAGTAGGGCCATTGATTGTTCATCATGTGGAGGTGCAAATGTAGGTAGTTGCAGATTTGTTAGAACTTCCGGGTTGATATCAAGGCTGTACCAGTGGTACACAATCCCCCCCTTGGGAAGTGGCAGAAGAGTGGCCGGGTTCAGGGTTAGGCATCTCTGAAGTTTTATGTTATCAGGTAAAAGCAATGAGGTTTGCAGGCGGAGGTGGCGTTGGGAGGAAAGGTGCTTGGGTTGAACTTGTTGCAGGATAGCAGTAATGTCATGGGGGGCCAACACGGTAAGGTGATGGCCAAGCACAAAGTCATTAGTCTTGTCCAGGAGGGCACTGGCGGCAAACACAGCACGGAGGCAAGAGGGGCTGCCCCTTGCAACAGGGTCAAGCATACAGGAAAAATAGCCAATGGGCCGTTGTCTGGACCCATGTTTCTGAGTAAGGACTCCGGAAGCATGTCCTGATCTCTCAGAGACAAACAAATTGAAAGAGAGTTGGTAGTTGGGTAGGCCCAAGGCAGGTGCAGAAGCAATAGCTCGTTTCAGAGTATGGAAACAGTTAATAGTTTCTTCAGTGAGGTGAAAAGGTTCACTCCGGAGTGCATCATAGAGAGGCTGCATGAGTTTGGATGCCTCAGGTATCCAGGACCTGCAGTATGTGATGAGACCCAAGAAAGCATGAAGAGAGTGGTGGGTTGCAGGTAATGGGAGTTGAAGGATAGCTTGCACCCGTTGAGAGGTTAGGTGTTTGGTGCCATGGGAAATGCAATGTCCCAAGAAGACCACAGAGGGCCGGCACCATTGCAGCTTTGATTTTGAGGCCTTGCACCCTGCAGTAGCGAGGAAACATAGAAGATCTTCTGAGTCACGTTCTGCAATAAACAAATTAGGAGCACAGAGAAGGAGGTCATCAACATATTGAAGTAGAACAACATCCAGGTGAGATTTCTGCCAGGGATCCAAAACCAGAGACATGGCATGAGCAAACTGTGTGGGAGAATTCTGAGCTCCCTGAGGCATGACAGTCCAGGTATATTGTTGTCCTTCATGTGTGAAGGCAAAGAGAAAACGGCAGGAAGGGTCAAGGGGAACACTGAAAAAGGCATTAGCTAGATCCACAACAGTAAAAACAGTTGAATTTGGTGGCACTTGGGACAAAAGGGTGTGGGGGTTTGGAACAATAGCAGTGTCTTTAATGGTTACATCATTAACGGCACGGAGGTCCTGTACCATGCGGTACTGGTCGGGTTGGCCCTTAATAGTTCGTTTTTTTAACAGGGAAGAGTGGGGTGTTGCATGGAGACGTACACTTGGTGAGGGCACCTTTGGCAAGCAGAGACTCAACTTGTTTGGTGATGGCATCAGCTTGTGCTGGCTTCAGAGGATACTGAGGTCGACGAGGAGGAAGTGCTCCAGGCAGGAGCTGGACTAGGACGGGGGGTACATGTAAGCGTCCAATATCATCCGGGCCGGTGGACCAAAGTTCTTGGGGGATACGATCCAGAGCACTGGGGGTGTGTGT